TTTTTTTAAAAAAAACCCGCAAAAATATGAAACAAAATACAGTACGAAGAGAGAGAACGCTATCCTTGCTCGAGGCGACTTCTGGCGTGGAGGACAGGAAGGTGGGTGGGGAGGCGGTTATTGCTTGGAGGGAGAGTCCCCCTCCCTGCAGGAAGCCACAACCACGTGTCACGGGAGGGAAAATGGCCGCGGATCCTGTTCGTCACCTGATCCGGCGTTTGCGAACGGAAACAAAATATTGCGAACGGAGCTGTTCGTGACCTGAATTGGTCGTGAACAGAAGCGTTCGTGACCCGAGGTACCACTGTACTTGGTTCCTTAGAATTGTTTCAAGGGTTCTTATACTGCTTATTTGGTTTCCCATTTTATAGAATAGTAAATTAGTCATTATGCTGTTAGTAATCAAAAGCTTTCAACACTATCATAGTGTTGAAACAAATGTGCAAACAAAAAATACTTTGACACTTAGAGGTGTGCACTGATTATAAATTTTTGTTTTCACCTAATTTAGTAACAGGCAAAAAGAGGTCACTATGACCAAATCAAGGGAAGCCCTGAGTTTGCAAAAGAATGTGCTTCCAGCATTCCTGCCACAACACCAAATGCAAAGTAGCAGCAGCTCACTGTAAAAAGCCAAACATCCCAGTAGCGTTTTTTTGTTGAGTGGAGCAGCTGCAAGCAAGCAGCCCAGCAAATGAAAACCTCCCAAGGGAGCTGTGGGAAAAATCAGCATACAGAATTTTGCCTTCATTTCTGATCCTTCTTTCCATTCCCTCCCATCTTTCTCCAAAACACTGAATGTGTTTGCAAGTAAGTTCAACCAGAGACATGTGAAACTTGAGTTTACAGCATGTTGGCTTTGTAGTACAAATCCAGTGGGCTGTTGTGGGCAAAGCTCCCTAAGAACAGAATCTCCTAAGTGTTTAAGAAAATGTCAAGGCATTGTTTAATTATTAGTAGCAAGACAAGTAAATGAGAAATCATGAGGTCTGCATGAAAATGCTCTCCTTACATTGACTGAAAATAAGGGAGATACTATCAGTTTTCTAATGCAAAATAAAAACACTAAAACAATTAAAACAGAAGTTTGAGTGCTCTGGTAACGCCAAGAATAAAATTATCAGATACTTTTAAGTACCAAGATAATGTTATCAGATATAAATATAGGAATTTTGATCATGTTACAGGTCTCAGCAAGCATCAACATGAAGGCACAATAAAATCTGAACTTAATAGTAGAACTTAACTAATTACTAATAAATTGATATAATAATAATAATAATAATAATAATAATAATAATA